GTGTGGGCTTGGAAAGTCTATAGGACCTGGGCACTGTCATATTGGACTCCCAACACTTAGAATTCCCTTGATGACGTGGGTTTGCCTTTCCTTTGTGGATATTTAGAAGGATCTCAGAAAATAGGCTGGAGGATCTCTTTCCCATAAAGTACAGCTTTAGAAACACGAGAGAACAAATATTTGTACAACAGTTTGGCCAGAATACAAAAGTTGGTCCATAGCAGCAAGCCAACTGATTCCCAAATGTCGATCTCACTTTTAGTGTTCTTTTTGTGTGTATAGATGCCAACTTTCTCCACCCACAGCAGCCACTGGCAGGGTTAAATCTAGTTCTGTCAAGGGAGGTCACTCCCATGAGGAACCCCCCTTAGGGTTCCAGGACAACTTAGGGAGTTGGGATATAAATAGAGTGTCGGGGAGTTTTCAATACAGTTAAATCTTCCTTCGTGTAAAAGAACCAACTTCCTTTTCTGCAAGATTGCCCAAAGCTGATAGAACAAAGAACTGCTCAGTATAAGTTTTTAGGTTTCATTTATTTGGGTGGAAATCTTTATTTTGCATTCGAACGAATACATTTTACACCTCTGGGATTTCAAAGACAATTTACAAAATACCCTGGCTTCACAGACAAGCACTGATAGGTAGTACGAATGATACCAATTAGGGTATACAATAATGAGGCAAACTTTTTGCATATTGCTATTGCAAACTCTTTGCATTTTTGCTACTGCCTTAACGGGTCTTCAGTGAGTGGATTCTTCGATGGTTACTGAGCTGACGTGAGCGCTGAAACGTTGCCCCACATTCTTGACATTCAAATAGTCTGTCTCCTGTGTGAATTCTACTATGTTTAGTGAGGTGACCTGATTGTACAAATGTTTTCCCACATTCCTTACATTCATAAGGTTTCTCTCCTGTGTGTATTCTACGATGTTCTCGGAGGCAATCTGAGCGTGAAAATGTTTTCCCGCATTCCTTACATTCGTAAGGTTTCTCTCCTGTATGAATTCTTCTATGTTGATTGAGGCTTTGTGAGTGGGAAAATATTTTCCCACATTCCTTACATTTATAAGGTTTCTCTCCTGTATGAACTCTTCTATGAGAAATGAGTTTACTTGGTTGAGAAAATGTTTTCCCACATTCCTTACATTCATAAGGTTTCTCTCCTGTGTGCATTCTACGATGTTCTGTGAGGTAATATGAGCGTGAAAATGTTTTCCCGCATTCCTTACATTCGTAAGGTTTCTCTCCTGTATGAATTCTTCTATGTAGATTGAGGCTTTGTGAGTGGGAAAATATTTTCCCACATTCCTTACATTTATAAGGTTTCTCTCCTGTATGAACGCTTCTATGAGAAATGAGTTTACCTGATTGAGAAAATGTTTTTCCACATTCCTTACATTCATAAGGTTTCTCTCCTGTGTGAATTCTTCTATGTCGAATGAGGTTACCTGACTGGGAAAACCTTTTCCCACAGTCCTTACATTCATAAGGTTTGTCTCCTGTATGAATTCTTCTATGCACAGTGAAGTTCCTTGATCTAAAAAATGTTTTCAGACCCTCCTGACATTCATCAAGGCTCTCTCCCGTGTGAATTCTAGTATGTTGCTTAAAGGAACGTGAACAGGAAAAGGTTTTCCCACATTCCTTACATTCAAAAGGTCTCTCTCCTGTGTGAATACGCATATGTTCAGTGAGG